AGTTGAGATTGAATTGGGACGAGATTCTACGACTGCGACGATCTGTAAAACGATAATTGATTTTGGAAATGATTGAATACGTCGATAGAAGATTCTTATATAGCGAGGTGTTTATAAATCACGTTTGTTTGGCGAAAAAGAAGAAAACTTGAAAAGTATTTTCGCGATTAATTATAGAGCGTATCGCCGTGGCTCGAAGAGTGTTTAATCCCAAGCAGGGCGTTTGTTGAACGTTTTAACGGGTGACAGAGTCGAGGCAGACCATATTATCATAATTTGGCGTAAGGTTGCAGTTGTTGCCTCGCCGGAGATAGTTTAGAATTGGGTCGGTGAGTCTCTAACGTGCTCTAACAAACGCATATTTCCCGCAAAGCAACTTGCCGAGAAGTTTATGCGGCACGGAGATTATTATAGTTTCATGGAAGACAGGAAGCTTTTGCGAGAATGCCTGATTAAAATTTCCAAGAAGATTTAAATTCGACCATCTTGCAAGAATTTTCCCTTCTTTTCCCCTTCGAACGTGTTTCACTATACGAGTATCAAATATTAACGTTATACGGGTTTATTAATATAATATAAATTTGATCGATAGGATATGGAATATTATATGAATATTTGGTAATTTTTTGTCGGTAATATTCTGTGTTTAATTGGAATCTATCGGTTGTCCAACAGAGTTATCCACGTTATTTTTGAGATGGGAATTACCTTTATGGAAAATTTCTCTGAGAGAATTTTTAACGCTTATTTGTCACGTATAATGATAAATAATATTTTATTATTATTTTGTAACGAAACATTGATTTTTATGTATATATATAAAATTTGGGATCGCTGTTATTTAACTGTAAAATTATCAGCACTTTGCTTCAACGTGGCCACATTGCAACATCATTGAACGTGACATTGATTTTTATGCAAATTCACGGGAGAGCGAATTCTTCAATTTCAATGCAATCGCCCACGTTTAATTTTTTTAATTAATTTCACGAATTATTTTCAACGATATATATATCTTTTAAAATATTATCGCGATATTTTCCAACCTTCTCTTTAATTCACTTTTGAAAAAAAAAAAATGAGAAATCTTCAATTTTAAATTTCTCGAGGGACAAAGGTATAACGTAAAAGAGTCGCAACATTTCCATAACCTTTCCTTGATATAAAATTTATTTTCCACCGCATCCTTATTTCTCGCGTCAGACTAACAAAGTATTTCTCCCTAAATATTTTAACTATCTTCATATTTTCCAACGAGATACATCTACGTCCCCCTTGAGAACCCTTTCGAACCGTACACCAATCCCTAATCCAAGTCCAAATTACGACTCGAGACGAAATCATTCTTTGTCTCCTCCCCATTAATCCCCTCCAACCCTTAAGAATCCGCGACACCGATCCAAAATGGACCTCTCGATCCTCCATCGCCCATTCGAGCCAAAGTGGATGGATAAAAGCACCTTTAAAGATACTCGTCTTTAAAATCGAATTTTCCACTCCGCTGTCTGTAAATTCAATTATCCTCGAATCTCTGTCGTATAAAAAATTTTTGCCACGGGAGGCATAGTAATGGGAAAACGAAGGAAGAAAGGAAGGAAGGAAGGAAGGAAGGAAGGAAGGATCGATCCTTTCGCGAATTACGGGGACAGGGGTTAGTCCAGGGCAGAACACAAGGGCAGGTAAAGCAAACGATTTTCCTTTCCCCGTTTCATGCAAGCCTTTGTGTCGTTACCAGCCTTCGTTTCCCCCTTTCTTTCTCTCCCTCCTTCCTTTCCCCCCGTTCGTTACCACCGCACAGTGTTTCAAAGAGGTTGTTTTGTGTGAAACGGGGAGAAAAAAAATGTTGCGCGACACAGCACTGTGGATGTGACGAGAAATTAGATTGAGGGGGAGGGGGTTGAAAAATATCCGTCGATAAATCGAGAAATAAAACGAAACACTTTTTTTCGTCCGTCGAATCTTTTCTTTTTTCTTTCTTGCGTCAATTGTATCAATTGATGTTTGACGATATTAGAAATTTTAATTTTCTATAATAAAAGAATTTTTTATAGGATATAGATTCTTGGAAAGAGTTAAAAAGTAATTTAACTAATGTCTTTGAAATGATTAATTGGTTAGAACGAATATGCGGTGGATTTCTAGGAATAATTAAAAAGTGTTTGCAATTTTATTCCTTTTTTTTTTTTTTTTTTTTTTTT